TGTTAACGTCAAACACAAACAAATCACAACAAACAAACATTTCAGAAGTATCAAAATGAAAGCACAATTGAATGTGTTGATGGAAATAGAAAGAGTATGAAAACAATACATGCCAGTAGGATTGTTTTGACAAATGGGTAATTATAAATCCATCACTCCTTATGTCTCAGGCTTCCATGACAAAATGAAATGACTATTGAATAAATATGAAAAATGGTTCAACGTCTTTAACCAATTTACTTTCTGTGACGAACAATTGTTTTTATTAACAATAAACTCTGTTTAAAGGTAACAAAAATTGCAAAAATACCATACCTGGCAGGAGAACTATGATCATTAGTTCATTATCCTTATATTCTGCAAGTAAGCTTTTAATGGAATATATTTAGCAACACGTTGCACGGCAAGAGCTAGGTATGAAGAAATCACTTCATTCATTTGACAGTAGGTTGATAGGATTTATTACTCTATAGAGAGTTGTTGTTCTTTGGCTTCTCTTCATCTCTGGCACATTTTCATTAACAAATGGTATATTTGTGTTTGTTTTCTTATATCTAAGCAATCACATTAACTGAGGACCAGGCCTCTTGAAGCTCCATCAGGAGTAGAGTCCTGTAGGAGGACAGAACATTTTATATCTCAGAAGTAGCTAATGTAAAACTTTATACTCACAGTTAGTGTAACCTCAATATTAAAATTTCTGACTGCTGACACAGCAAGAGTGTAGGAAAATCTGTCAAAATATAAGTAACAACTTCTTATTTATATATGAATTGCTGATATAAAGAATTTTAGACCTTCTACTTTTCCCTTGATTTGAAATCTACCATACAAAAGTGGAAGCTGCTATTCTGCCATCAGTTACATTGTTGGTAAACTTAACGTTTTGCAGAAGTTGAGAAATCACATTAATCTATTCTTTTACCTTTCTATTTTTTAGCTATTTAAAAGACTTGCAAGTGATGTGTCAATGTCAAAAGAGTGGTACTACACGACTGTACAGGAGGATTTTGGAATTGACTTCACTGGAGCAGCATCTCAAACTTGATTTAATCTGCTAATAGAGCTAATAAACTAATTAATCTTTCTTGTTGTTCCCTACTCTCTGTCACTGACAACCATGGGAGTTGGCATGAGAGATATGGCAGGCGTGTCTAGGCAGAGTGGTGAACAGTGGGGAGACGCTGTTCTGCAGCTGACTTCAGAGTGCCCTACCATTTATCTGTGCTGCTGCACACTGGGCTAAGGCAGGAGGCAGATGAACACCACAGAGAGTGAACCCTTGTCTTCATGATACATAAATAAATAAGGAGTCACTCAACCAACTGGCTGAATCATTTTGGTTTATGACAAAATTACTGAGCACAGTTTAAGCCTTCTGAGATTAAGAGTTTAAAATTCAGTTGCCTTCGGTTACCCATCTGATTTTCAAGGAGTATTCAGCAGTCCCCATTGAGGGGACTTGGCACTTTGGAAGTGGTAAATGAAGTACACACATACAGGAATGGAAATTTTAGTAGAGAGATGAATGGATAAGTGAAAACTGGAAAAATACAAGGATGAAACGTGCAAACATTTTAGTAGATGGTTGGATGGAACCTAGAGAAAGAGATATCAGTAAAACATGCAGAAATTTTAGTAGCTCTCTGAATGGCTGGATATGACCTAAAAAAGGAATGAGCAAGTTGATATTAAAATTCAGTTATTATTCCAGCAACTGGGAACACAATTATAACAATATTCAGTCTGTAAGATCATGCTAAAATTAAAAACAAAGGCAGAAGAATTTAAATTGAATCAGTGTAGGATAACATAGTAAATGTGGTCGGATTTCTGCTGAGTCACTTTTTTCTCTGAAAATAAAACAGGTGATCATATATATCCTGATTTTTTACAACATTATTTCAGATATTTTTGAAACTAGAAATGCTATATAAGATGATTTAATGCCAGAAAATGTTAATTTTATTGCCCTCTGCTACTAATTTACAGTGAAATAACCACAAGATAACAAAGAATTTATCACACTGTCCACAATCTCTTAACTTTACAGTGAACATAAAGGAACATAAATATGTAATTTCACACAGACAATAACTACTGAAAAGAAATAGAACAGTAAAACAGACACACAGATAGGTATACTTTATCTTCCTAACTTCTGCTGTTAACTTTGTCTTAGAAATTAGTTGAAAATCATGGACTGTGTGGTTTATGTGGACTACCAAACTTTCTTTCCCAGATGCCAGGTTCCAGCACAGCCTGACTGTGCTGCAGAGAGGGGCTGTCCCAGGTTCCTCCTGTGTGCTGTTTCTTATAAATTACCAGCAAAGATGTCTCAACTGTTAACACACAGGTATTGTAGAATTTCTGTGGAATTCAGATATGAAATCTTTCCCATCTAATTCCCATTCAGGGGAGTACTCAGATTTGTTCAAAAAAGCTGAAGCTACAGAAACAGTTTAATAAATAGCTTATACAAAAGCTAACCTCTAGCAGGTTCTGTCCCCATTTCCTTGCTGAACTGCTCATTTTCTGGTGTAAATGATTTTGGACAGATTGGAAAAATGGAACCTTTTCCCATTTTGTGAAGTATGCTCACCATTATAAAGATTGTCTCCTGGCAGACAAACATGAGGGAATCACTCTAAGAAAATATACTTTCCCTTACTTGTGATACTCTGCAATAAAACAGGAACTGATAGGAACAATTGAACTATACCTAATAAAAAAAAAAATTGCTACAGAGTGTTTGGCAATGACATCTACATTGCTTTGCAGAGGTGACAGTTTCACTTGAGCATGGCACAAGGTCATTCTTTCTACATATTCATATTCAGACTTTCACTGGAATTCCTACTGAAGCAGCTGCTGCCACCATGGACCGAAACTGAAAACACTTCCCATTCTAGGATCTCAAATAATTTTTTTGGTAGCAAAATCCTCCTAGGCAGGGTAAGCCTCAAGAAACAATTTTTCCCCTTAGGAAATACCTGTGTTCTTCACTAAATTCAAACCAAAAACATAATAATGTAAAAAAAAAAAAAAGTAATAGAGGTATTTGATAAGATACCTACCATGTTTTCCTTTTAATTCATAAAATGTGGACTTGTAAGCAGTGGGGAAAATGGCCATTCATGTTCAGTTCAGGAAAAAACATTTCTCTCGTATCAAAATTAAAGCAAGCAGAACTAACTGCTGGAATAGCTGGAAGACCTTCTTCTTTTCTCCTATCATTAGGCATGCAAGTTATTCCTGAATTGTGTTTCCATTACCAAGATGACAGATTTGATTACTCACATTAAATTTTGTGTGTCAAAATAATTACTCAATGCAAAGATAGCTGGCAAAATAACATGCACTGAATCCTGGTTCAGCATTTTTATTTTCAAAAGGGTACTTGAATCATATCCTCTCAGTATTTGTGTTTTGACTTTGCTGAGAAAAGTAGCCATGCACACCTTTGTCAAATAAATCTGGAAGTACCAAGTATGCATCCAGTCTGCCTAAAAGGCAAGATTTTCTCTGGAAGAGACCAAAAGCCAGAATACGTTTTCAAGCAAGCCATCTCTTGATTTGCCATGGAAAAGCATAACTGTGCCAAATGAAAAGCAAGCATTGCATCAGTTGTAAGCATATTTTGGTCTGGTTTAGTCTTTTCTCAGCACGAAGAAAAGAAAAGATCACTCATTTAAAAATAAGCTGATGGGGTGTTTGAATTCTGCTTTGGCAGGGAATACAAAAAAGAGCAGAATTTGGCCCAGTTCCCTCAAAATGTATCTTTGAAAGTGGAAGAATTGCCAGCACAGCTGGAGTCTAATCCCAGCAGCACAAAAATCATTGAATCACAGAGTTATAGAATGGTTTGAGTTGGAAGAGACCTTAGAGGTCTTCTAGTTCCAACCCCCCTGCCATGGGCAGGGACACCCTCCACTAGACCAGGTTGCTCAAAGCCTCACCCAGCCTGGCCTTGAACACCTCCAGGGATGGGACATCCACAGCTTCTCTGGGGAACCTGTTCCAGTGCCTCACCACCCTCACAGTAAAAAGTTTCTTCCTAATATCTAATCTAAACCAGCCCTCTTTCAGCTTAAAACCATTACTCCTCGTCCTGTCACTACACTCCCTGATAAAGAGTGCCTCCCCATCTCTCCTGTAGGCCCCCTTCAGGTACTGGAAGGCTGCTATTACGTCTCCTCGGAGCCTTCTCTTCTCCAGGCTGAACAATCCCAACTCAGCCTGTCCTCGTGTGGGATGTGCTCTAGCCCTCTGATCATCTTCATGGCCCTCCTATGGACTTGCTCCAGCATGTCCATGTCTTACTTATGTTGGGGGTCCAGAGCTGAACGCAGTAATAACAAAAATATATAATAAAAATTGAGCTGATTTTTACATGCATTGCTAGTGGAACAGATACATGTTTGTTCACAGCAGACAGTCCTCAAAGACGTTTTTCAGAACCTGTAATGAGCTCAACTGCTGGGCTCCCAATGAGGACAGACGAACTTGTGATTTCTTTTTTCAGATGAAAAAATCTGTTAAACTTTGCTGAAAGGTAAAACATGCCATATCAAGTTTCTCTGGTAGAATAGAAACAGCTTAGGATGACAGTAGGAGACTGTCTGCTTTATTTAAATGCTAACAATGTGCATAGCATTTGAGTTTTAGCAAGCTTGGTTAGTGTCAACATCCAGGCTCACTTAGACATGGCTTTCTGCTCATGCAAATCACTTGAAATTTGATCTATTACTTAAACAGTCTATATAAATACTGCTGCTAAAGTGTCAGTCTTGATTGCACAATTATTGGAGATACTCATAAGTATCATAATTTCCTTATGCTGGATAAGTCATGCAGAAAAATTATCCAGGAAGCTTCACATCACACTTCTGAAATTTGGCACCAAAATTCTGAATTAAAGCTCAAGCAGTCAGGCATCAGAACAGCATTTATGAATGTTCTCTTTACTGCCCATTTTTTAAATATTATTTCAGACTCACCTTTACCCTTTCCAGTTTCACCCTCCTGTGGTGGGTTTTGTTCTGTGTAGGAAGTACAAGCATATTTTTGAGAGGAACTTAAAGTAGAAAGAAAAACTTACACAGCATTAAAAAATATAGCAGCATTCTAGGTTCTGCTAGTACTGAAAAACCAAATTTAAAGAATTGCTGATATATGTGTATATGTAATATACAGTTGTAATCCCATAAAGCATTTTACAACTCTGTGCATATCGATGCATTTTCTGTGTTTTGAGCGAGTCGTATAAGATTTATGTTCCTGTACTCAGTGTAAGAAAAAGACTGGGTTTTAAAAGTAGCAATTGTTAGTCTCTTGTTCTTGGGCTTATTTACAAAAGCCTTTGAAATGAGTTGCTTATAGTTGTTAATTTGAATGGAATTGTATCAGGCATGAGATACTGCCAAATATTAATAGTATCCTGAGCTCCATCACCCTTATCGGTTCATCCTTAAGACAAGGTATGCCACAGAGAGAGTGTATTGAGGGTGTTCTTAATTCTTTATCATCTTCTTTATTATCATAATAATCTTTCCTGAGTCATTTGGTCTTAGTTCTATTATCAGAAAAGTTGCCAGCTTGTCCTCTGCTCCAAGCACGTGAATGTGAATTATCCTTGACCTCATAAGTATGAGAGAACTTGGACTGTGTTTTCAACAAAATAATCATTTCTACACTTTCTGTATTTCAGGATTTGATAGGATTCCTATTCTCTTTGGTTTCCTATCTCACTGAATTTGTGAGACTTGTCAAAACATATGAATTATGCTGTCTTCAAGGTGTAAACACTCAATATTCTATTGCCTGTGAACAATTACTTTCTTTGGCAAAGTTACCTGTCAGCTGCCTGCCAGAACACGGGTTTGGATGAAGGTCAATGGACTAACATTGTCAAGATGGAGCTAAAATAACTTTTGTGCCATGGAGGAAACATCTGCATGAGCCAGTTGATATTATGATTATCCTGATTTCTTGTTCACATGTGCATAGCCATCATAACTATGAAAACAAATCTTGAAATTTGGAAGACAAGTTCATATTCTGGAAGTGTGACAGACTCTCAGATGCTTCTGTCTGGATTCCCTCAATTTCCAAGCTCCAGTTGTCGGGTTTTCCATCTTGTCTAGATGGTCAAACCTGTTCCTTTTTAGGGAATTTTGCTACAGTAGCAGTTTCCTTTCCTGCTAGGAACTGGGATTAGGAGAATTCACTGTTCTTGGCAGGTGGCAACATGTCTAAATCCCATCTGAAAAATTCATCAGGGCTAAGTATGCCAACCTGGTGGCTTGACACTGAGATCTAGAAGGAGCTCTTAACAATGGCTTCCCAAAAATTTCCTGGGGTAGTTCAAGATGCTGATTATGTCCAATAAACTATTTATATGTTACAGCATTTAGATTCTTGAACAATCAACTTCATTCTTTGCATGATAGCACTTGGTAATCCAAGATGACAGCATCTTGAGTCAGGCAGAAGGAAGTGAGGAGAAGTGAATGGCACTTCTAGTTTAGAAATATCACAGTTTGTACCTAAGCATAAAGGCCTGCTGACACCTTACTTGTTTTACAGAAGTACAAGTATGAGGAAGAGGAAGGGGCTCATAGGAGTGGTTTTGTATTTAATCCTGTGTATTTAAATAGAAATGAAGATGATGTTATTTGTTTGAAAATGTTAATAGATGTTTTTAACATAGTGCTTCAAAGATGCTGTTCCTTTCTGTCTACAAAAAGCAGCTTCTCCTACTTAAAAGTTAAGATTGATGGAAAACATGAATTCAAGTACAAAGTGTATCAGATAAGAACCTCAATGCGAATATTGAAATTAATTACCTTAATATCAACTGTACAGATTTTACAGTTGAGTAAAATACAACCATCATGAATGAAGTATCAAGTAATTTTCCTTACAAATGTATGCAATATGAAAGAGGACATCACTCTAACGTAAGAATAATATATGGCTTATTTAAACATGAAACTCCTTCTGGCAAATGATACTGCTTCCTCCAGAATTTGTAATTTTAAAAAGAGTGTGTCATTTAAACAAAAATGTCTTAAATCTGCCTTGGAAAATGCCAGTTTCCAAGACTGTAAGTAAATGCAGATTTAATACCTGGGGAGTATTTATTCTGTTTGGTATTGCTGTTTAGGTAGCTACACAGAGAATAAAACTCACCAAATGGTTAACTTAGATGTGCATAATGTGTATATGTATTAACCAGCATCTGAGGATATTACTCAAGTTACTCAGTGCAGATCAAACCCACAAGGCAAAGGCTTGCCTACCTTTCCAGCTCCCACTAAGGAAAATGTATCAGTTTTGCACAGTTCTCCAGCTTTACTTGAAGCCCTAGTCCTCATGAATGAGTTTCACCTCACCTGATTTTGGCTTCCTGGAAGTTATTCACCCTCTCCAATCTAGACAACCAGATTCCTCAGGGCAATTGCCTGTACATAGACATCCAGTATACATTTGAAGACAAATAAAAGGGAATATTTTGAAGTAGATGCCATTCAGCGTCAGAGAAGACAGCATAATTTAACCACAAAATTTAAGTCATAATTTTTCTGGATCCTGAAGGATATTTGCATCATTACACAAACATCAAATCTCTTGCAAAAAAACCCCAGGTCTTAAAAATCAACATTCAGGCAAAGTGAAGTGAGAATATCTTACTTGGGAAGGCTTTCTTACTTTTCTTACTGTCCTCTCACTTTCAAAGGGACAATGAACACAAATCATATCGTGGCTATGCAGTATTTAGTCTCATGCAACCGTTGTTAGTGATACAGTGCAAATTCTCATTTTTCACACTGACCTGGAGGTGGTGGTGCATTTTCAGTTTCAGTCTCTGAAAAATGAGGAAATAAGACAGATATTGAGCTCCAGGTAAAAGCAAATATTTTTTTTCACACGTTTGGTATATGCTTGTTAAATTTGGACAGAGTTTGGGTTCATTTAAAATCTTAATTCCTTTCTCAATTTTTCTTTTTGCTTTTTCACATGCAACACATGACATCTTCAAAGTGAGATAATCAGAGGCTCAACTTGTTAAGTCTGGATACATATAATACTCACAGAATCATAGAATCAAAGAATCATTTAGGTTGGACAAGACCTTAGAGATTGTCAAGTCCAACTGTTAACCTAACACTGCCAAGTCCACCACCAAACCACGTCCCTAAGTGCCACATCTACAGGTCTTTTAAATACCTCCAGAGATGGTGACTCAACCACTTCCCTGGGAAGCCTGTTCCAATGTTTGGCAACCTTTTTGGTGAAGAATTTTTTTGTAATATCCAATCTAAACCTCCCCTTGTGCAACTTGAGACCATTTCCTCTTGTCCCATCACTTGTTACTTGCAAAAAGAGACCAGCACCCACCTCGCTACAACCTCCTCTCAGGTAGTTGTTGAGAGTGATAAGGTCTCTCCCTGACATGCAGGTCATCTCCCTGCACGTGTTCATGTTAATTTATACAGGTGGGCCCCAGTAATTTTGGGGACCTTTCGGCAATTTCAGTTTAGGACAGTTCTGGAATGTCATGGAATCCAAGTTGATTTTCAAGTTTGGGTTTGATTTGCTTAAGTCAGTTGGTCTTGAACCTATGCTTAAATGTATAATTTACCACATTGATATGCTTCTGTCAGATGATATCCTATGTTTAAGCAAACTTTCCATCAACTGGAATAATATCTGATATGACTTTAATCATGAAGTGTAATGGATCCATTAGCGGAGGAAGATCATGCACAGAGAATTCAGAGACTTTTATCTTATTTTCACCATGCCATTAGATCTGGTGTTCAGTGCAAGCAGAAAGTAAAAAAAATCAGCTTAGCTGCTCTGCACAGGAGCTACAGTATGTTTGGCTTTTCTTTCTGTTGGTCCTGTTTTTCACTCTAAATCACTTCCCTTTCAGATGTGTGATACCAAAACCAGGTTTTTTATTCTATTTAAATTATATCCTTTTGGGATGACATGTTCTCTAATTTGCAAACAAAGAACAATTTAACTAGATAAAAATGTATTTTTAAAACATTAAAGGGAGATTATTTTCAACCTGTAAAAGCCTTAGAATCCTAGACTGGTTTAAAATAGTAATATTTATTGGAGATAGGGCATCGACTTATAGTTCAACTACTTGCAACAAGCAAAGATTTAAAAGGTTGAAATCCTTAACTGTTACAGTAGATGGCTCTTACTAACCTTTGTCATGTTATGGGTATTAACCTTTGGGACCCTACCTCAGGTCATATTCAGGAAATAAAGTTTCGGTTTCTCTCAGATAGAAATGCTGGTAAGGTTATTCCTTTGCACCCAGGTCTAAATATAGCCAAAATATAGCCAAAATATATTTCTCATTCTTAATAAATCCATTTAATGTTTAAAAGGGAGGAATACATTTAGTACAAATATAATTTTAAGCTGAGTGTGTGAATTTGATGTGAGTTAGAAACTTCCAGCCCCATACACGAATGCTATAGCAAATCCTTTTAGACAGTCCAAAGAGAATCCTTCGCTATAGGGAAGGAGCTCGGTCCTTTATATTCTGGTCACAGCATCCATCATACAGAATAAAAAGGAAAATGTATATTAAAGGTCAACAGACATTGAGTCTGATAATAATAAAATGCCATTACTTAGGTTCATAGCAATTTATTTTTTCTGGTCTAATTACTAATATACTAAGTTTTGCTTCGTGACCTAGGAAAATATGAAAAAATTTCGTATGAAAATATGAACATTCTGTCACAAAAATTATGTCTTGGAATATATCCCCTTTGCTACCATGACATTTCTCTCTGCTTCCCCTGAGAATAAAATAACTTCTCTGTGGAATGGAAGACTGTTTCTTGTATGGAAAAATAATAGCAGAAAATTACTGACTGTGTATTTGTCTTTTTAAAATTTAATAACTTGAAATAGGGAGTATTCTTACACTGAATTAGGAAATTTCTCCTGGCTCACCAGCAAGAACCACAAATTTGTAAACAAAAGCTCACCAAACTAAGCACTTTCCAGGCTCAGATGAATGGGTTGTGAGCCTTTTGAGGGACTTGCCTTGAGTTTTTCTTTTATTTTGAAAGGTATTTCATGGCTTCTTCACACAGTACTGTTGGTCAGAAAACACATCTTTCCAGTCCTGTCTTACCTAGCAGTAGGCACAGATGTTAACCAAAATCTACAGCACAGACCAGACCTGAAAAACTATTACTACAGTCTAAACTTCATCTCATACATGCAGACATACAAGGAGATACCATAAACCAGAGCAATGTCATAGGCAACCTACTCTAGTTGACCCTGTTCCTCGCAGGGAGGTTGGACTAGACGATCTCCAGAGGTCTTTTCCAACCTCAGCTATTCTGCATTTCTTTGATAGGATGATGACTGAAGCCAGACCAAGAAGTCGGTGGTTACTTTCCTAAACTGTATTTCAAGGCTGTTTGAGCTACTGCTAGGAAAACTGAGGTGAGAACTGAGCTCACGGGAGAGACCTGAAGTGTGGTGTAGGAGGAAAAAAGGAATGGGGAGAGTACCAAACACTGGGGGTGGCAGAGACATGGGAGATACTTCAACATAATCTTTTGGCCATGTGCGACCCCTTTCATGGTCATGCTTGGCTTACAGTCCCATTCCTAAGGACAGCCAGGAAAAAAACCATTAATAGCACTGAGTAGTTTCCACCTCCCCAAAGAATGATAGCCCTCTCTGGCTGACCTCTGCAACAGGCTTGTCAGCCAGAAAAGGGCTCTGTGCACTCAACCAGCAGCTTACGGTTGTGCTCCTTACCCAGGAGGCATGCTCACTGGAGTCCCCACATGCCATTCCCGACAGCCCCATTGCCTAATAAGGCTCTCTGTCGAGGCATTGTCAGGGGGGCTGGTGGTGGAGGAAGAGTTGCCTCCAGCATGCACTCTTCAGCCCCTTCAGGGAGAAAAAGTGTTCTTTACTGAGTTGTAGCAATGCCTCTTGAAATACAGGGGAAAGAGGCTATTGAAGGTCCAGTTACTGCTGGATTGATACCATAATGTCAACTGCACCTTCTACTAAGCAACTAAAGCTAACTTCCGCCTCACAGTGGTCTCTTCTTTGCAGTTCTTTATTTAAGACCCCAAGAATGTTACATTTCATTGGGTTGTGTCATGCTAAACACAGACCTTGGGCTGTTCGTTGGCTGTGAAACTTATAAAGCAGCTGCCCATTGATAATTCTACAGCAAGAAAATGAATTAACAGGCCTTTCCACATGGCTACTCAGAAAGGATAGTATATTAAGAAATATAGTTAGAAAATAAAGTGAAAGCACAACTGTCACTTAGATAACTTCTCCAGAAATGCTTTCATTCCTCAGACATATCATGAGATGCATTCAGGATCCAGTTTGACATAGGATATGAACACTTAGAGCCAAGACATTTTTATTTGAGATTTATAATTACACATGCACACATACACTCTTGAAAATCAGCAGGAGATGCAACTTGACCCATTACCAACAATTTTCCATCACTGTTCTACATTCACTATGTTCAGTTTTTCAGATAAAATAAGACTTAAAATCTCTTGCTATGCATATAGATAACTAAGCTTCAAAAAGTTGCATGAGATTACCCATGTGCTAAAGTTGTGGAAATGCTTAAGAACCATTTTAAATTGGGACTATCATTATTTAAAATTTCAATTCCATTTTAGGTCTGGCTGCACTGACATTTGATCTGCAATAACCATGAGAAGCTTTGGCAGGGAACTGGCAGAGTGCTTATGTATGGTGGCCACTTTTCAAGGGCTCTAAATTCCCACTTCTACTGGCTTCTGTGACAGCAACAGGCATAGAAACTCCCTGACATCATATATATTACTTTTCACATTGGAGGGTAAACATAACAAGGCATGCTGACAGTTCTAAAACAGTCTCCAGGTCCTACTTTACTACTGTGGTGGGGGCAAAGTATTCTAGAGACTTGCAGTTCAGACCATTCGAGAGCTACAGTTTGTCAGCAAGCATACTGGGAAAGAGGTCTGGCTGGATAACCCTTCTAATTATGCAAATCTGTATTCATGACCAGGTTTGTTTTGGGTAGGCTTAGGAACTCTCAATGACATTGGAAAGTGAGTAGTGGTATTTTTTTTTTCCCCCTTAGATGAAGGAAATGACCTTGAGCATCAAATCAGGGCTTGCACAAGGTCTAAAGATAGCATTTCACCATCACCAGGCTGGAACATTCAGAAGAGGGAGGAGGAAAGTCTCCTGCACTAATTTCTCCCTGCAGTTAGATATAGATTGGTTACAACCTAGCACAGACTCTGGTCTGAACAGTCAAAGGATTCAGGATTTCACTCAGTCTGACCAGAGGGCTTACTCCCATTTGCCTGAAAGGGAAACCAGGACTATAGCTGCGTCATCATGGATACAGGTATGATGTCTGTCTGTGTAACAGCAGCAAGTGACTTTCATATGTCAAAGAGCACGAGGATGGTCACTTAATGCTTTTTGTCATAAAGACCTGTCAACTTGTGTCAAATTTAAGTAGGTGGATTAAGCTTGTGGACATAGCCTCAAGGGATCAGACAAATATAACATTACGTAGGGATTCCTAAAGTGCTGACTCTGCTAGTCAGACAAAAATAGACAAAATGCTAGTTTGGGGAGAGAGCACAGCTCACCCCAGCCCTTGTGCAGTTGTCATGTGTAAGGATTGTCCCCTGTGCATGGCCCCTGGGAGATACAAGAACTGCTGTTGTGGCACATGGATTTCTCCCGCGGTAGATGTTCCACTGAAATAGGTGGGCAGGGAAAGACCAAAGATGTGGAACAATTACTTGACAGACATCATGTCCAGTTCAT